TTTGCTTGTGCCTGTATCCTTTCTGGTTCTCAGATCCCACTTAGACTATCATCTCCCCTGGTAACATCTCTGGCCACCCACCTCAGCTGTTAAATCAATGAGCATCATTCCACTCTGGCTCCTCCCCCACTACCCCCTCCCCTAGCCCCAGAACCTTGTCTGGCAGTAGGGGTGACTCTGCAGACTCACCATGTCCCATTTCCCTTTCTAGTGGGTGCTCAGCTGAGACACAGCTCCCATCTGTCTAGGCACTGGTCAGGCATGGTATGTATAAAGAGGGAGATGTCCCCGAGGCTGGCTATGGCCTGCTGCGCCCTGCATACAACAGTTTTGCTTCAGCTAGTGGCAGAGACAGGGACAGAGGGTCCCAGGGTCCTGAGGCATCTTGGAAGATGTTGGGTCAAGGTGCATTCACATCAGGTTGGAATGTGAGCATGGAAGCCGCCCTGTTTTTATCTCACCGCTGACACTTGTAGTCCATTCATTATAGTCCTGCCTAGTTAATACAGTGTTTTATGTTTCTCCATACATTTTACAGTCACAGATCATGGTGCCTGGCCCTTGATAACACCTACAGCTCAGCGTATTTCAGAGACTGGTGGAATATGATAAGTGCACACCACAAGAAGAGTCATGTCATATACGGCACATGGCTTTGTGGAAATACCCCCAGAGTGGGGCCAGGGACAGATTCCTAGAATCTCAAGTAGACAGACCGTGACCTCCTCCCTTGCTAGATGAGCTTGGACTTGACCCTTTATCCAGGCTCCAGATTTCCACTACAGTGGTTCATTCTTCCTGGAACTCAAGCATTGACTGATGCTGTGGTGTGTGTGTAGACCCTGAGTGCCAGTGGTTCTAGTGGGGGTGGGTGGGTGATGCGATCTATCTGAGGTGGCACCTGCTCCCTGCCATGATGGTTCTTCTCACCACAGGTCTAGAGCAACAGAGACAACTGACCATGCGCTGAAATCTCTGAAGCTATGGCCCCAACCAAACCTTCCTTTTCTTCTGCTAATTGTCTCAGGTCTTTAGTCACAGTGGCGAAACGCTAACACGGCTGGCTTTGCAGAAGGGGGGAAAATAACAGAGAAAGGAAGGTGCTTAGTAATCATCTATATCAGCTCCCAAACGGCGAGGAGTGGCCTGAGGAGCTGCCGACTCCCTCATCACCCATCGGCCCCCATTAGCTCTAGGGAACACCCGACTTCTGTGTGCCCCTCAAGGAAAACAACCTTTTACAAAGAACAGACCTTTTAAGTTCTTTTTAAGAAGGATGTGAAGATGAATTCGTGTGATGTAAAGCCCAGGGCTCTGCTGAGAGCAGACAGCAAATACTCCACCCCTAAGCTGTCAAGGTCCACAATTGTCCTCTTTCTTCCAGAAGCAAAGCCAAGGATGATGAAGGCACATGGCCAACATCTTTCGAGGTAAGGTCCTCTGTTCGTGGCACCTGACTTACCTCAGGTGTTTAGACAATGAGATATGAAAGGAAAGAAAGGAGGGGAGATTGAACAAATGTGGGGCCCTCTGTAAATCTGAGGAATTTGGTCTACTTTTCATATAAGTTTCCATGGCGCCATTCATTCAGTTTGAATTTTGAGAACCAGTGATGGAGAAGTTGCTGCCTTTGCATAACGTCAGGCGTCCTTGAAGTCACATAGAGACTCAGATACTGGAAGCATGGGTCTCCGGAGGTGCAAGGCTGGTCCATCTTCTAAGCTATCCGGTGGGTTGCCATAGAGATAGCTCCTTGTGAGGATATCACGAGCAGGTCCCAGGACCAGGATATGCTGATGCGATGTGATAAGACAAATAAAATGGGAGGCCTTCAGAGCTTTAGAGCTGTTTCTCTCCTCAGGAAGCAGAGCCGGTGAGCAGGTCTCAGACAGGCTCCTTGGACAAAACCGCCTTCTGTTTTCATTTCTGTTATCGGAGACTCATGGGAATGGAGAAGAGAGTGAGGCACAATGCTTTGGGTTGACTCCAGAACCACAGGCTACCAGTTAGACGAAACCAAATATGGACTGAAAACTGAAGGCTCAGATACTGCTTTTTGCCCTTCTCTAGATGTGCCACAAAAGGCATCTGGGCATCTCCCTGGATCTATGCACCCCTTGAGGCCTGCTGGGTTCCTTGCCAAGCGGTGCTGTCTGTGGCCACAAGTCCAAGTTCTGGTTAGTGTAATCTAGGCAGAGAATCAACGCACGGCTGCCAGGATCCTTTCTTAAGTTGTGACTCACTTTCCTCTCTTCCTCCTGTGGTGTGGTGCACTGGTGTCATTACCTCGGGCCATAGGGTTGACGCCAACACAATCAAGGAAGCAATAAGATGGGGATAATGTTTGGATATTTGAGGATCACTCTCAGACACCCACAGGCCTTAGGCAGGTTATTTCTGGATTTTCGTTATGTAAAAAAAAAAAAAAAAAAAAAAAAAAAAAAAAAAGGATATAACAAGTACTTCTCATGGTTGAGCCTCTGTGAAGATTTTTACACACCTTGCAGCCTTTAATGTTTTTGCTCCTTGGAGATGTGAGCTTTGGAGCTAGTGGGGCACATAGCAAAGTCACTAACCAAAGCTGGGAGAAAGGCAAATACATTTCTTGGAGGCTAATGGGATGTTCTAGGTTCAAATCCCGGCCTGTCACTTTTTGACCACATGGGCTCAGGCCTTCACGTGACCTTGGTTAGTGGACGCTACTCTATGGAAGGGTTCAGCAGTGTGTATCCTAAGTAGCTGCTGAGACATTTTAGTCTGTGTTATCAAGGTAGACAAACACCTCTCGGCTTCCAGAGAGAGTGTGATTTCTTGGCTTAGTGCCCTCGAACAATGTGCAATGTGCTTGTCTTTTCAAGCTCAGCCACCCGAATCTACAGCTTTGCTTTCAGCTCCAGCATGGGAGCTTGCTCCCTCCGGTGCTTAAAGTTATGTGTGGCTTTTTTAGCATTCAATTCCACTGACGTCCAGAGGATGACCTTTCCCACGAATTCTTCAGGTCCCCCTCAGCTTGGGAAGCTCGGGGATTCAGTGGCCACTAACATCTGGTCATCCCTTTTGTAATGGATGAAAGACTGAGGCCAAAGTTGGTTGCTGTACAACCCCAAATATATTGTGGTGGATTTGAGCACCACTTACTCACTGCTTTCTTGCCAGCCTATCTAACTTCTCTTGGGCCCAGTTAATCTTATTTATATATGAGTACAATAAAATCAGTCCTACAGCTAAGCCAGATGAGGTTAGAAGATGCCTGGCACATACTAGGGAAAGAGAAAGAGAGAGACTTGTAGCTTTCTTCCTCTCCCAGTTTTATTTGCTGATGCCCAGCTCCTTGCCTTAATACCACGAGCTGGCAATTCGGATTCTCAATCAGCAAGAGGAAATGCTCACTAGGAGCCAGAGCACAGGCCTAATGTTCTCACCCAGTGGCTCCTGGAAAGTCACTCCCTTCTCTAAGTTTTCGTCTCATTATCTGTGATGCACATGCTCAGTCGCCTCTGTCAGATCTTAATGTTTTGTGTCTCTGGTATTGTGGTTGTCACATTAGGAACCAGTGATAAACTGGCTGGCTGGCTAGACAGATGAGGGAATGGGTAGTGAAGAAGAGGCAGGCCCTGTATCCACTCCTCAGAGCTCTACAGAAACCCCAGACCAACACAGTGGCTGTCTAGAGTAACAGAAACCTCTAGATAGGGACGCTCTGGATATGTGGAGTCTCCTTTTCTTTGCCTCAGCAGGCGATTCTCTAAAGAACATTCTAGAACTACCTGCATTGGAACTATCCAGCCAAAGTGTAAACTCTGGGGTGGGCTGTAGATTTTGTGTGCTTCTGCTGTGATGTGAAATTACACTGCATTTTGAAGGCAACTATTAGTCCTTGGGTTTTTCTGTCTGGGTGATCCAAAACTGTGAACTGTGCTTTCAAGGATGTGGGGAGCTCCTTGCTCCAGCTCAGCTGTCACCTTCCTGGTTTGTTCCTGTCCACTAGTGTGTTGAAGTCTTGGGGAGAACCTGTCCACTAGTGTGTTGAAGTCTTGGGGAGAACGCCTCCTGTTCATTTAGCTCAGTTACTGCAATGCCTAGACTTGGCCAGCAGGGGTCGCTGGAGGTCTACATATTTTGTACCCGCTGGTTTGCCTCCTAGTCTTAAAAATCTTTATTACTTTTTCTTTTAAAAGTTGGGGGAAAGTCAACCTTTAATACCTGTTACCTTAGAAAACTAGAAGGAAAAAACCCAAATGTTTCTGGAAAAATAAAATTTCTTGTTTCTTTAATAGAATCAACCAATTTCTTTTCCTTCCCCAGCCCCCCAGCCTATGGGGACTTAGGACAGAGGGAGGCAGTCACTTGTCCAAGATTCCATTCCGTAGGCACCAGAAGGAGGTAACTCACAAGTTCATCTTGTTGGATAATAAAGCACCATGCATGCCTCTCGAGGAGGCGGCTACACTGACCCGTCCTTTACAATCCAGAATGCGTCTGTCTTTTTCCAGCCTGAGGGAATTTGTTAAACATTCAGTTTTTGATAGATTGTTTCTACTCTATGACAGTGTATGTTTCTGCAGAAGAAATTATAAGCTGCGGATATGCAAAAGAGAAGTGATGTTGATTCACTGACACAACTAATATAAATGTTTGATTGCAGGCATCCCCTCACTGAGACACACAGATCCAAAAGAGGGATACATACAGACACCCACACTGACAAGCATAGACAGACAGACACACTCACATAGACTTAGAGAGGTACACACACACACACACACACACACACACACACACACACAGAGATGGGGGAGAGAGGGGGGAGGGAGGGAGAGAGATACACATATGCATTCAGAGATACACAGAGAGATACACTCAGAGACACAACACAGCAACATGTTATTATGTTTTCTCATATTGTGCACATGTGTCACACACACACACACACACACACACACACACTCACACTGAAGCATGTGCATCAATACACCTGTTCATATTGTGAGCAATGTTTTCTTGCCTGCCCTTTCACAACCAAGCTGTCAACAATTTCATGGTCATGAACAGGCATCCCATTCCTCAGTTAAAATGGCTGCAAGGCATCCACTCTCATGGAAGACCCACCATGTTTTCAATGAATCCGTTGGTGAAAAAAACGCAAACACACGAAGAACTTAGGGATGTGTGACTACATCACTGATGTCAGCCTGCATGCAGGTCCTTAGTGACATCAGGACTGCTGGAGTTTATAGGCCTTTGAGTGGTCTGTGACATGCATGTTGTGATTTTGTACACAGTTTTGGAATGGTGTAGATGCACCCGTGTCTAGGCAGGCCTGGACATTTTTTTTTTTTATCTGAGTTGACTTTTTCAAAATCTTTCTTTTCCCTGTATTTCTAGACTGTTGTCAATGGAATGTCAATATCCACTTTTCAGTTTTTCTCTGCTTCTAACCCAAGATGGAGAAGGTAACAGCTGGCTACACTGACATGTTGTTTCCCTCCCATGGTTTCCAAGTTGCCGACTAATGTGTCCAATACACAGCTTCATCGCCCTGGACAAAGCCCCTTTGAGGGTTCTAGTCTCCTCCAGGACTCCAGTGGGTGGTGGGAGAGGATGAGAGGCCGGGGAGTAGATAGTATATTTGAGACCCAGAGACTCTAGCACAGTTTGGAGGCATCCACCTTGAAGAACTCAGGCCTGGAGGGAAACTTACTGGGGACAGACTGAGGAGAGGAGGGTGGTGCTGAGCAGCGTCCACTGTTCAGCCTCACACGTCACTTTGGGATGGCACTTGGGCTTCCATGCTCTTCTGTTGCAGGCCATGTTGAGCTGAGTGCAGGGTGCGCACTACAAGCTGCCCTACAAGGCACCGCTCCACGCTGGGCACGGAACTCGCCAAGATTCATGCATTCCTTTGTGCCTTTCTTCTAGCCTGGTGCTCATTTTCTCTCTCACTTGGATCCTCACAACCAGTCCCACTTTCTAGTGGGGTTCTAAGGGACCTTCCATTTTTCTGCTGCACTTACATTTTTTTGGGAACCAACAATAGAGAGTTTGGTGGGCTGGGCCCTAGTGAATAGCTTAGCTCCCTACCTATTTCATAGAGGAAGGGACTCGGGCTCATGATGCAGCACTCTGCCCAAGGCTGCACAGCTAATGAGTGGAGCCCCAGGAGCCCCACACATCTGCAGATCTGTGGGCCTGACGGACTAGTCAGCTGCGCTCTGGGGCAGCTGGAGGGAAAGGCTGCAAGAAGCTAAGGTATGTTACTGGGTGGTGGAAAGGCAGCAACCTGAGATGACTGCATTTTCTGAAATCTAGGCTAACATTGGCAACTTGCCTGTAATCCAAAGCTACATCGAAATGATGCTCTGGATGTCTGAGGTTAGACCACAAGAAGGCTGTAGCATTTGTCCTGGTTCCTTGAGTTGCTATTCTGTGGGCTTTCCTTCCTGGGATGCACTCTCTTTTAAAACCCTGACACGAGTGGGTGACAAGTCCAGCCCATGTTGGGGGCGCTTGCCTTCTATATGTTCCGGTACAAGCATCAGCCACCTGCGTGAAGGACCCCTGCTGTCTGAGTCTTCTCCACTGAGGCCCAGACATCGGGGCTGTGCAGAGAGAGACAGTCATTGCTCCTTCACATATACAGCAAAGAAAGAGAATCAGAAAAGAATAGAAAGGAAAGCCCAGTAGACCAGGTTATCTCATCACCTCGAGGACACAGAACCCGTGACTCACCTTTGGTACTGCTGAGGTGTGGCCATGACCTAGGGCAGAAAAGAAAACAGACTTGAGTGTCAGCTACTGAATTCAGCACTGTCTCCAGAGCAGCAGGTACTCCCAAGATGCATTTCACCACTCATTCTGTGAAAATTTTGCCTGCATGTTCACATCTGTGCAGGTATATAGGTGTGAGTGTTCATGCATATATTGCTGCACATGTGTGTGGATGTGTGCACATGTGTGAGCATGTATGTGGAGGTCAAAGGGCATCTCAGTGTGTTCCTCAGTTGTGATGTAGCTTGACATTTTGAGACAGGGTTTGTCACTGGGCTAGAGCTCACCGTGGATGCTGGTCTGGCCAGTGAGTCCCAGGGATCATCTTATTTCCATCTCCTCAGTGCTGGATTATAAACATGTACTACTACTTCTGGCTTTAAAAATGTATTTATTTATTATTTGGTCCTTTTTATGTGGGAGGGAACTCAGGTCCTTATACTTGCTAGGGAAGTACTTTACTCTCTGAGGAATCCCTCACCCAGCCCCAGCCTGTGTTCTACAAACAGAAAGCAATCCCCTTGTGTTTGTATCGCTGTAGGCTTGAAGTCATGTTTTGTTAGAGGCAATACAGAAGATAGACGACAGAGATAAGAAAGAAAATCAATACTATGCATGTGTGTGCAATGAGTGCATGCCTGCGTGCGTGCATGTGTGCATGCGTGTGCGTGTGCGTGTGCGTGTGCGTGTGTGTGTGTGTGTGTGTGTGTGTGTGTGTGTGTGTGTGTTTGTGTGTGTGTATGGTTGTTCCCATGTCATGGCACATGTGTGGAGGTCAGGGGTCAGCTCTTTGGACTTGGTTCTCAGCATCTACCCTGCTGAGGCTTCTCGTTTCTGTCTTCACACTCCAGGGTAGCCAGTCCTTTAAGCTGCCAGGCAATGCTTCCATCTCACCTATGAGGGCTGCGACTACAGATGTCTGTCTGTAGGCCTTTTGGGTGGGTTACAGGTATGGAACTCAAGTCATCACAGCTGCATCAGCGCTCTTACCCGCTGAGCTGTCTTGTAGGCCCATAGGCACACATTAAGTATATAGGTGCTTAAGTGTCTTTCTATGAGAGTGTGTAGGATGCCACTGTGATACTTCATTATACAGTGTTATTGAAAAACATAGTTGTTGGCTGTGTGGCACTTTTGGAGCAGATTTAGGTTCCTGCTAATTTTGACTACTGTATACAAGATTGCAAAGCTCATCCATTCTGGCAATTCAGTCTCATCTCTGAATGTCTTCATGGACGGACAATACTCTAGTTAAAGGAAAGTGCCAAGTAGTGTGGGCATCCTCAGGCCCTTGTAGCACATTTCTCAGGTGCTTTCTGGATGGTCTGTATTGATGCGTACTGACTGACATTCTTTTCCACTGACTGTGAAGTGACCATCCACGGTGTCTCCCCACCAGATCCACGTTCCAGTCCTACTGTACCCACTTGACACTCGACCCTCATTGCATCTGTTTCATTTCTGAGATGGCTAAGGAGTCTGAATTATTACATGCCTTTCCTCTTGGGCAAATCATGTGCACATGTCCTCACTCATGTTCTGATGACAAGTTCTTGGCATAGTCACAAACGTCACCCTTGGACAGTGTCCTCTTGGGAGCAACTTTTCCCTAGATTTGGGCTGTGGTCTGAAAAGCCCCAGGGCAATGGAAAGCTCCACAGGCCGCTGCTTCCACGCGCTGACTTGTTTGTGCATTTAATAACCCCTGGCTCTCTATGCACACCTTTCCTCCGAGGCTCTCTAAGTGCGTCACAGCTGCAATTAATTGAGCATCGCAACACACATTGCGTGTAAATATTTATGAGGCCTATCTGGTGGCTGGGACGTTGGGCACACAATAGTTAAGCAATGAAGCGTCAGTAACCAGGAGACCAGAGCTCAGGAGTCCAGATTCCTGCCTATCCTGATGCCCTCCCCTCATCTTCCAAATGACCTTGGGGAACGATTGTCTTCCCAGACAAGAAACAGGGCACAGGGCTGCACAAATAGCCCAATCCAGACAGCCACTGAGAGGCAAGGAAATTGCCTCAAGCTTGGCTTCCCCTCCAGCCTGCTCTCCCTACCCATACCTTTGGGATGGGGTGAGTCTCACTTGGGAAACACGGTGCATCTGCAGCCTAGAGCCCTGTGGTTAGCTGTGGGTACCCTTTCAAGCTGCCTGAGCTTCAGCAGGAACTAACAGTCCATTACCTAGTGAGAAGCAAATCCTTTATGGGGGCCTGTGAGTACTCTCCTGTCACCCTGGACACATAGTCTTTCCCCTGACTTTCTGGCAGTTCCTTAAGCCTCACAAGACCTCCAGACATGTGACTTATGACATGTGCAACAGAATTGTGTACAGTGAGCTTATTATAAATGGAGTAAGTATCCCAGGGACTCTAGGTTGGGATTCCAAAGCGGGCCGGATGTAGGTGTGAACCTGGGACTTCTGAGCCTCAGGAGAAGTCTTCTGCAGGTCCTAGGGAGGACTCTGACTTTTGTATTCACTGTCTTCTCACTTTGGCCTCCCCTGTACTTAGAAGGTAATACTGGCGATCACATAGTCTGATTTGCTAGTTCGACAAAGCTGAGGCCTGAGCTGGGCTCATGTTTTCCTTCTCCTCAGATCCTGGGCTGAGGCCCTTTGGCACACAATAAGCTGAACAAAAGATGATGGAAAACAAAGCCAAACCAAACCTTGAGTGCCTGTCTGGCTACTGATCCGCCCCCACTCTTTTCAGCAGAGTTTGACCTATTTACACTCACCTTCTCAATTTCTGTTCCCTGCAGATGCAATGTTTTTATTTTACATTTATGGATTGATCAATTAACAAGAATTTTTTTTTGAGACAAAGTCTCTCTATAGTCCAGGCTGCCCTTCCTTTGAACTCTCTATAATCCCCCCATTTCAGCACCCGGGGTGCTGGGATTGCAGATATGTAACAGCCCGGCTCCTTCTTTTATTTTTGACTTACAGAAAGCCATAGCTGTCACTGTATAGATGCTCTGAAGAGACAAATACTAGCCAGCATGGCTGTTAGGATGACGCAGAGTGGAAGGGCGGCTGCCAGGGACAGGAGAAGGATGGGGCACTCAAGGGTACAGTGTTTTGGTTTTTTACAAGAAAACAGGTCTTACAGATGATCTAGTGGCTGTAGCGTGCCCATAGTTAACGGCGCTGTGTGCACAGCTGAATGTGTGGGCACTGATTTCATGTTATGTGTTTTTATGTTATACACAAGTAATAGTAATACACAAGGGCAGAGAAGCCATTTGGAGGCAATAGATACAGGTTTCTGGCATAGACTTTAGCCAATTGGATCTCTGTCTTCCACTCTGCAGATGTAACTAAAACTTAACCCGACTAGAGTGGCACAACAAGCTATTGCCAGAGTCAGGTTTCCACTCCGAGTTCCTTGTTATTCACAAGCCTAGAGCAGCAACACAGCTTGCAGAGGGCTGTGCATCTGGAAGCTTCCTCCCTATTGCCAAGGCTGTCTGAAAGTGGCTTATCTGCTTCACTCTGGGTGGGGCCTCGAAATGATGGTTGGGTATTCATATGTCATGTCCCTGGGGATTCTGCACCCTGGGGGCTGTCTGTGCGTCAATGCAAGCATGTGAATTAGCAGAGGAAGCCTCAGCAAAACAGGGAAGGGAGGGGGTGTTATTCCAGCTGAGCCTGCTGCTGCTATCCAGAGAACTGGAGACATGGCTTGGGGGTGGGGAGGCTGGCTCTGTTGCCTGAGATAGAAGAAGAGGGAGGCTGGACACCGTGGGTTCATCTGGATGGAGTGTGGACATCATCCTGACACTAGCAGCTGCCGAGCTCTCTGGAAAGGCTCCTGTGTTAATGCTCTTTGCAGCCTGACAGCCCATGGTGACGAATGAAAGATGCTGCTCGCTGACTTCATGGGGATTTGATGTGCTCTGTCTGTGCTCCAGTGAGGCCGGCCTGTTAGCAAGCTGCCCTTTGCCAGGGAATCACAAGGTGCATTCTGGCTTCCTTTTGTCAACAGCATCAATAACATAGCCATGTGCAAATGGGCCACAGCTGGATAGAGCGCAAGACTGGCAGCATCCTCTGCCCTTATACTCGAGGCTCCCTTCTACAATTGGGCATGAAAGAAGCAGGGTTTCCTTCCTTGGCTTTTCCTGTGTGTGTGTGGTGGGTGTCATCACTGTGGCAGGCAACTCCACGAACTATAGAATGATCAAGGTTGGCCTTCCCGAGTCTGTGGTTTTCTGATATATAATCTTATTATAAATAGATTTTAAATTGGAATTATTTTTAATTTTTAATTCTTTTAAATAATTTAGTGCATTTAATGAGCTTTAATTTTTAAAGGATACTAAAACAAACTCTCCCCTCCCCCACCTCTCCTGCTGCCTGGCACACTGGATGTGTTCCTGTGTCCTTTCTATCCATGGGAACACAGTGTAGATGGTGTGTTATTTGGGTCCCATAGAGATGGGACTCAGCCCTGTCTCCAGGGTCGACCTCCTGGAATGGAGACTAATAACTCACTGTCCCTTGAAATTTGGCAACAAACCCTCGGGAAGTGATCCATGTGATATTACATCATCAGCCTTCTTCATCTCCCAAGCTTCCAGGAGTGACTGATTTGAATTTTGTGTCTTATGTAAGCACTATTCATGAAATAGCAAGGTTACTCCAGAATCAAATTCTATAGCCTTTGAAAGACAATTGATGTATTTAGGAGTTACTAAACTTATTTTAAACACAGAGAGAAGTGAAGGAGAACACAAATTTCTAAGTTTGTGACTTTCCCCTCTTGACTTGAATATGTGCACTGGGAACTGAGCATGTTACAACAATGATCTCACACAAACTTTGTCCTGGGCAACAGTATCTTTGTTCCCAAATTGAGGATCTTATAGAATGCTTGTGTCAAATGGGGTATCAAAGATATTAGCAATTCCTCTTATTTCACAGGTGGATGACTATGGTTACTTTCCCCGGGGTCAAAGGTGCTATGCTTCACATCCAGTC